CCATGTTGACCAGGATGGTCTCAATCTGTTGACCTCATGATCCACCTGCCTCGGCCTCCCAAAGTGCTGGGATTATAGGTGTGAGCCACCGCGCCCGGCCAATTTTTTTTTTTTTTTTTTTTGAGACGGAGTCTTGCTCTGTTGTGCAGGTTGGAGTATAGTGGCATGGTCTCAGCTCACTGGAACCTCCACCTCCTAGGTTCAAGTGATTCTCCTGCCTCAGCCTCCTGAGTAGCTGGGATTACAGGTGCCTGCCACCACGCCTAGCTAATTTTTTGTATTTTTTGTAGAGATCGGATTTCACCATGTTGCCAGGCTGGTCTTGAATTGACCTAGTGATCTGCCTGCCTAGGCCTCCCAGAGCACTGGTATTACAGGCCTAAGCCACCACGTCCGGGCTATAGATAAAAAAGTAGAACATATTACTGACATCAGTTTAGAAAAGTGTATGGCAGTGTAGAGTAAATACAGGTATCTGAACAAAGAAATATCCATAACAATTGGTAAGAGCAATTTTTTTTTTGAGACAGGGTCTGGCTTTGTGCCCCAGGCTGGATTGCAGTGGCAAGATCACTGTGACCGCTGCCTACCAGGTTCAAGTGATTCTCCTGTCTCACCCTCTGGAGTAGCTGGGATTGCAGGCACCCACCACCACACCTCGCTAATTTTCGTGTTTTTATTTTTATTTTTTAGAGATGGGGTTTCACCATGCTGGCCAGGCTGGTCTTGAACTCCTGACCTCAGGCGATCCACCCACCTCGGCCTCCCAAAGTGCTAGGATTACAGGCATGAGCCACTGTGCCCAGCCTTAATTTTTGTGTTTTTAGTCGAGACAGAGTTTCATCATGTTGGCCAGCCTGCTCTCCAATGTCTGACCTCAAGTGATTCACCCACCTTGGTCTCCCAAAGTGCTGGGAATATAGGTGTGAGCCACTGTACCTGGCCAAGAGCAATTGTTATAATTGCTATTGCCAATAATTTTTTCAGGCTGGGAGTGGTGGCTCACACCTGTTAATTCAAGCACTTTGGAGGCCAAGGTGGGTGGATCACCTGAGGTCGGGAGTTCAAGACCAGCCTGACCAACATGGTGAAACCCTGTCTTTAAAAAAAAAAAAAAAAAGGCCGGGTGTGGTGGCTCACGCCTGTAATACTAGCACTTTGGGAGGCCAAGGTGGGTGGATCACCAGTGGTCAGGAGTTCAAGACCAGCCTGGCCGTCATTGTGAAACCCCATCTTACAAAAAAAAAAAAAAAAAAAAGAAATAAACAGGCCGGGCGCGGTGGCTCACGCCTATAATCCCAGCACTTTGGGAGGCTGAGGCAGGTGGATCATGAGGTCAAGAGATCGAGACCATCCTGGTCAACGAGGTGAAACCCCGTCTCTACTAAAGATACAAAAATTAGCTGGGCATGGTGGTGCGTGCATGTAGTCCCAGCTACTCGGGAGGCTGAGGCAGGAGAATTGCTTGAACCCAGGAGGCGGAGGTTGCGGTGAGCCGAGATCGTGCCATTGCACTCCAGTCTGGGTAACAAGAGCGACACTCCATCTCAAAAAAAAAAAAAGAAATAAACAATATTTTCATATTTCTGTGGCCACACTTTAAGATGTCATCAAAGGATTTGATATTGTGTGGAAAATACTTAATATGAAAACTACTTAACTTTTAAAATATGTTGTCCCATCTCAATTTCATAAACTTACCTTCCTACTATCCCAAAGTTTAGGCAGATGACAAATGCTGTTTTTCTCCTCTCTCTATATATATATGTATATGTATTCTGAGACAGGGTCTTGCCTAGGCTAGAGTTCAGTGGCACAATCACGGCTTACTGCAGCCTCAACCTCCCAGGTGCAAGCGATCCTCCCACCTGTCTCCTGAGTAGCTGGGACTACAGGTATGCATCACCATGCCCAGCTAATTCTTTAATATGTTTTTGTAGAGATGGGGTTTTGCCATATTGTTCAGACGGTTCTCCAACTCCTGGGCTTAGGGGATCCACTTGCCTCAGCCTGCCAAAGTCCTGGGATTATAGGCATGAGTTACCATGCCCAGCTCTCAATACTGTAGTGCTGATTACACTGAAAGTGTAAAAAACATTTGAAATAATCATTGTTGGAGGGGGTGGGGCTGAAAAAATAAAAAAAAGAAAGAAATAATCATTGTTTTGAGGACACAAATAGTAACACAGCAACTTAGAGGTGGAACAAATTTTAGGAAAAGCATTGTTTACTTTTACTAAATTATTTATGTTGATTTAACCTGATTTAAACAACTAGACTACATTTAAAGTCTCTGGGGCTGGGTGCAGTGGCTCACGCCTGTAATCCCAGCACTTTGGGAGGCCGAGGTGGGTGGATCACCTGAAGTCAGGAGTTTGATCAGTCTGGGCCTCTGCCTCTTCTCTCCACGTGGAGGTCCCAGTGGGAGGAGAGGGCTGGAGGCCAGTTAAAAAAAAAAAAGACCAGCCTGGTTAACATGGTAAAACCCTGTCTCTACTAAAAATACAAAAATTAGCTGGGCATGGTGGCGGGTGCCAGTAGTCCTAGCTACTTGGGAGGCTAAGGCAGGAGAATTGCTTGAACCTGGGAAGTGGAGGTTGCAGTGAGCCAAGATTGGGCCACTGCACTCCAGCCTGGCGACAGAGCAAGACTCGTCTCAAAAAAAAATCTGAACACACAGATATTGCTTAAATAGCACAAGGTTCAAAGAAAGCTTGATTTAAGCACATCAAACCACTGTGTCAAAACAAATCGAGATCATTCCAAATGAGTTGCATAAAAAGAGAGTTAATGCATGTTTGAGATCAGGTATTTGCCTCTTTGAAGAGTGACCCTGATTTTGTCTGACCTCAGAAAGGTCGTTTCTCTCTGAGCTCTAATTCCTCTTCAAAACATTGAGAGGCTTGTGTCTGTGCAATTTTAAAGTGTTCTTGGATCTATAATTTGGGATTTTGTTATAGTGGCCCTTAACTGGAAACAATTTAACCAAAAGCATCATCTTCATCTTAAAGAAGATTTTAACTGGGCATGGTTGCTCAAACCTGTATTCTCATTTTGGAAGAATGAGGCAGGAGGATCTCTCGTGAGACCTTCTCTTTACCACCCCCTCCTCCCCAAAAAAAAAACTAACCAGGCATAATGGCACATACCATCACAGCTACTCAGGAGGGTGAGGCTGGAGGATTGCTTGAACCAAGGAGGTTGAGGCAGCAGTGAGCTGCATGAATGCACCACTGCCCTCCAGCCTGGGCAACAGAGTGAGACTCTGCCTCAAAAAAAAAAAAAAAAAAAAAAAAAAAAATATATATATATATATATATATATATATATAGTACTTGGATCTTGTACAAAGGAATTAATTGTTGAATGCTACTTAGAGCAAATACATTTTTAGTCAAGTTCTGAGGGAAATGATAAAAACAGGGTTAGTATAAAATTTAGTAGTTATTTGAATTTTTACTGCTTATTTTAGGCCTGACACAGTAGTTTACTCTTCTTTTCTTAGAGACAGGATCTTGCTCTGTCATGCAGGCTGGCATGCAGTGATGAGATCATAGCTTACTGTAACTTGGAACTCCTGGGCCCAGGTGATCCTCCCACCTCAGCCTCCTGAGTAGCTGGGACTACAGGGATGTGCCACCACGCTGGCCAGCTGTTTAAAATTTGTTATTTAATTTTAAAAAATTGGCTGGGTGTGGCAGCTCACACGTATAATCCCAGCACTTTGGGAGGCCAAGATGGGTGGATCACCTGAGGTCAGGTGTTCGAGACCAGCCTGGCTAACATGGTGAAATCCCGTCTCTACTAAAAATACAAAATTTAGCCAGGTGTGGTGGCAGGCACCTATAAGCCCAGCTACTTGGGAGGCTGAAGCATAATTGCTTGAACCTGAGAGGCAGAGGTTGCAGTGAGCTGAGATCGTGCCACTGCACTCCAGCCTGGGTGACACAGCAAGGCTTCATTTAAAAAAAAAAAATTTTTTTTTTAAATATAGATAAGAGGACTCTCCTTGTTGTCCAGGCTGGTCTCAAACTCCTGGCCTCAAGTAATTCTTCTGTCTCAGCCTTCCAAAGTGTTTGAATAACAAGAAGTGAGCCACCTTGCCCAGTCTGACACAGTGGTTTAGATCTTGCTTTTTTTGTTATGTATGTAATATAACACTTCATAGCAGGTATTTGATATTAAATGAATTAGGTAAGATGTACTTCACATTGAGGTTTCAGAACCACGTGGCATGACATTTTAATCAACAGTACAAATCTGTAAAGAAGGGCTTTATTATCAGCACAGAGCAGGAAAAACCCTAAACCGAACAAAGGTAGCTAAGATGATTACTGAGTCGTTAATTAACTATGTTGTCTAATCACCCGGTTTCTACCTCCGTTTGGCTTCAAAAGTCAAAAATGTCAACTTGCGGGGCCGGGCGCGGTGGCTCAAGCCTGTAATCCCAGCACTTTGGGAGGCCGAGACGGGTGGATCACGAGGTCAACAGATCGAGACCATCCTGGTCAACATGGTGAAACCCCGTCTCTACTAAAAATACAAAAAATTAGCTGGGCATGGTGGCGCGTGCCTGTAATCCCAGCTACTCAGAAGGCTGAGGCCGGAGAATTGCCTGAACCCAGGAGGCGGAGGTTGCAGTGAGCCGAGATTGCGCCATTGCACTCCAGCCTGGGTAGCAAGAGCAACTCCATCTCAAAAAAAAAAAAAAAAAAAAAAAAAGTCTACTTGCCCTGAAAGGAAGTTTGAATTATTTACCTTACTGTAAACTCTTAGAAGTGGAAACAAAACTGCCATTTAAATGGGCTTGCTGTTAATGAACTTGAGCATGACTATGTTATGAATCAGCGAGTTTGAAAATGAATATTCCTGAGTCCTCTAGTCAAAAGGCAAAGGCTTCCTCCTTGGCTTGATCACACTATTAATATGTACACATATTCAACCACCGCTTTTTAAAACCCCTTACAATTTACACCTGTTTTGGTGACCGACTGAATAAATAAATATGAAAGCCTACGACGAGCTTTCTTAATAAAATAAATAAAGCTGCATTTTATTATAGGATTTAGTAACATTTACACTGAAGATGATGACGAAATGTGAATGAAATACTGCGATGAACAATAACCGTCCCAGCTACTAGCGGTGGTACGGTCTCAACGGAGGACGATGACTTCTGAGGTCTCAAGTAATCTTCGCAAAACCCAGGGAGCTGAACTGTCAGTCCCACCCCACGAAAGCGGCTACTGAATCCCAGATTGCCCCACGATCTCGGTTCTGCGAGCAAGGTCACGTTCACAACGGCGGGAGTTTCCACAGCGGTGACACACGGCACTTCCGGCCGGCCGTGAGAGTCAGTGACGTGGCGGCGAGGCTGGGCACGGTCGTCGGGGTCGGGGCACCAGGAGCTGTCAGGTGCCCTCGGGGCAACCCCGCTGGGAGAGAAGAGCTCGCCCGCAGTCTCTGCGGCAGGGAGGCCGGAGCCGGAAGTGCCACGTGTCCTGATTGCGGCTGCGCGGCCGGCGGCTGACAGACACTTCCGGCCGAGGCCTCCTTCCTTCTAGGTTTGGCTGCCACCTTGTTGCCCGGCATTCGCGGCCCCGCCGGCCCGACTTTCTAGCCTCAGTTCCCAGGCTAGGCCGTGGCCGCCGGTGGCCTGGGGAGAGTGCGGCGCCATGCCTCGGGCTTGATGCGCCGCCCTCTCTTTTCCCAGACTTCAGTCTTAAGTCGTTAGCCTCCTCCCTTCGCTTTCAGCAGTCGTCTTTTAGCTCTGTTCTTGGCCCTGTTGTCGACCCGGACCAGCCCCTTCCAACCCAAATAACTGCCGTCGTCATGTCCCAGCCGGGAATACCGGTCTCCGGCGGCTCCCCAGCCAGCTTCCAGGCCCAGAACGGAGCAGCCTCGACCTCGGGGTCTCCCTACGCTAACGGTAAGTGCTGTCCGAGGGGAGGGCTCAGCCTGACCGGGGCTGAAACCGACCTTTGCGTGCCGCTGCTGCTCGAGGCGACATGGAGAGGGTGACCTCCCTACTGGGTTCTGGTCCGGATGGTGGTGGGCGGCTGGGCCAGGGGACCACGGCGACTGTGCACCCGCAGCCCCAGGATCGTCTTAGGCTTTCACATGTATTCAGTCGGTCACCAAAACAATAATTAAGTACCGGCTGTATGCAGCGTCCTGGGTGAAACATGGGTGAGAAAATGCCTCAAAACTCGAATGTAAGGATCATAGTGTTTGTGTGCATTCACCTTCCGTGCCACCTCACCCCAGTCTCCTAGAAAGCAGGATTTATGGTCTGATTCAACTGGGTTCTGCAGGCCCTGAAGTGGGTTGGCAGTCGTACCCAGTCTGATTTTCTGGAGATGAATGCATGCTTTTGGGACACCCCTTTTAGGGCCTACTCATCCCTCCCAGAACCTTCCCAGAATTGTACCTACAACACCTGTTCAGTGTTTCAGCTGTTGAAAAACCAAATAGAAGGGATAATCTCCTGTTTGATTTCTAGATGTCTGTATAGCACTTGGAAAGTTGTTGGACCCAACTCTTTGAATCTCTGACAGGTGTCTACATGTACATTATAGTTTGTCATTTGGTGTGAGAATGTCTTATAATTTTATACCTCTTCTAGGATTCCTTAAATCATCCTACTTTATGATTTGCTAAGATTATTTCAATTGTTATAATAGACAAAGTCTTTCTGCCAACAGGTTGCCTACTTACAAATTTACCTACAAATCTCTGGTTTACAGAAATAGGACTAGTAGAATGATGCTAAAGAGCTTAGTTGCCCATTGGAGTCTAAGATTTCTGTGAAGTTGGAGAAAACAGATAGTGACTAAAATTGCTAATTTACATTGTTTTTAGAGAAGACTGCTGTTTTCTTTACAGAGATGCCTCTAAAAGACTTTTTAAAATGTCTGAGTAGGCAACTATGTGGGCAGAAGAATAAATGGAGGAAAGCCACTGAAAGGGTGTTAAGTTGAATTAATTATCCTTTCTCAAAATTATGGCAACAGATTATGTAAACTACATTTTATTCTAGGATATTTAGTAACATTTACACTGAGGATGAGAACAACTTAAAATGTTATATGGCTATGGATTTTCTTTTTTTTTTTTTAAAAGATGGGGTTTCACCATGATGGCCAGGCTGGTCTTGAACTCCTGACCTTAGGTGATCCACCCACCTCGGCCTCTCAAAGTGCTAGGATTACAGGCGTGAGCCACCGCACCCAGCGGATTTTTCTTATAATCTGTAAATTGCAGTTTTACATCAACTTTTTTTTTTTGAGACAGAGTTTCACTGTTGCTACCCAGACTGGAGTGCAATGGCACGATCTCGGCTCACCGCAACCTCCGCCTTCTGGGTTCAAGCAATTCCCCTGCCTCGGCCTCCCAAGTAGCTGGG